AGGCGGTGTGCCGATCAGCCATGAACTCGCGCAGCGTCCACCGCAGCGCGCTCACAATTACGAAGGATGGTAAATGCTTGACAATAGGCACGTATTGACGTGCGCACACAAGATGCAAAAGCGCGCACTGTGAGTGCTTGCGGCAACCCTGAGTTTGCCCTTCTCTGCATTCGATTGCTGGGGAAGCAGCAGGTGGAGTGTTCCGAGTTATTTCCAGTTTTGCAACGTTAGGTAACGTCCGTCCTCTTAGAGGACGACGGTTGTTTTTTGAGGTATTTCGAAGTTCGGTGTTCGTGGGCAAAAACGGTCCCAGACGTGTAGATTAGTTCAGTGATGCTGCTTCGGAACGCTGTTAGCCTAGGATATTGCAGTTTCTGAGCGCGAGCTTCTTCCACTGTGCAGAATCTGTAGGTTGCAGAGCATTGCAGAAATATCATCGTTATCTATATCCCAGACTTCCACCCCTGTGTCTGAGTAACCTCTGCCTAGTACTTCTTTTATGTGAACGAGGTGGGGCATGTGCCCAGCCTTCTCCATCCAGTGCAATGGCTCTACGTTCGTCAAGAGTATGCTAAATCCAATCAAGGACTCCGACAGACGAACCTTTCGATAATATTCTGGCGACAGTGGACAGTTCGTAAGATTCTCATGCAGATATTGACTAATCTTTTGGAGGGCTTTTTGCAAGGAAGGCTGCAATTTCCTCTTTACCTCGCTTCGCATCTAGAGGCGGCGTTATCTCAAATTGAGCAAGCATTGGCAAACCCCACATGCCATAAACGGGCAACGGGTCTTCAGGACCCGTAGAAGGTACGGTTCCTACTGAAGATAAGGGTGACATGATCTCCTCACGTTCTCCTGAGTCTGCCGGAGCTTGCGTTCCCGCTCCTTCTGCTCATGTTATGTTCTAGAACTCGGACGCGTGACTGAAGAAATGGCACAAATATTAGCCCCACGACAGTCCTCACTGTACTTATACAAACGCAGCCGGCCGGTTGCAGTCTCTGGCACTCTGGACTCTAGAGTAACCAAGAGGGTGCCTGCTAACCTCAGCGTCAACAAGAGTTCTGGAACCGTTTCCATATTCTTCCATGCTTCGTCCCTGTATTAACTGTAGGGCTACTATGCATTATCTTGAACAGGAGCATATGCTTAAATGGATTTATCCATAGTGCAGGGGGGAACAATCCTCTCGTGCCCTCGCCATGACGCCGCTCCCAAATCATCGCAGTTCGGAGGGTCTCCACGCAAAAGGCAAATGAATAACATGGTGCATAATGTTTTGCAAACAAGCAGTGAATGAAACACTGCAAACACAAGCCAACTAAGCATGGCCTTATTAAAAGACCACCTATAGTACAATTCTTTGAAGGCTGCTGTCGATTCTACATTATCGTTTGACGAGTGTAGCACAACTGGGATCTAGGGGCATTACAGTCCTCAAATCCCATTGAACGAACATGAAATTCACAATATAAACTGTTCCGCATAGTGAATTTCTCTACCTAAGCCACTGGACTCCAGCAGCATCCTTCTGAGTTTGCAGGTTCCGAAAAGTACATAGCATTCCCATTGTACACTTGTCATATATCAGGTCTTAATGATGTTAATTCGGTAGGGGACCTCTCCATCTATTGTACTGCAGCACTGGTGGAAGAGGCTGTGGGTGGCTTGTCTTCGATACAGGTAAAGGAAATTCGAGCGAAAAGCGCGAGATCACATCGCTTTCCGTTTGTTGCAGATAGTGGTGGAAGTTGACCTTCCAGGGATTGACCGTCTGTAGGCCAGTTGGAAGCCCCTTGTCCTGCGCGAAGACGGCTTTTCCATGTTGGAGTACTGTGCACGAGCGCTTCGTTTGGAGAGAAGAAAAACCTCTTGAAGGGCACTCCTTCATCATACGAAGAACGTTATGCTCTGTGGCATTTTGATAAAGCGTTGTTTCTTCTCTGAAGCTGAAGGGAGAATGTTGGGCATCGGGGTTTTCCTCTCCTAGCTCTACATGCGAAGCGATTGCTGGCCACAACAACAAGCGAAAATGTGGGGGTAGGCGCTGAGTGAAAGGATTTATTCTGAGGTTCTGAGTTCGCAGCTGGAATCGTTGGAAGCAGGAAGGAGTTGAGCAGAGGTTATTCTTCTGCTGGCTCCCGTCAATGGCGGATTCCAAATTCTCAAATTTCGCCGACCGCTTCAACATTCCTGCTCAGCCAGTTGTGAACCATTGGCTGAGCAGCAACAGCTGCCACTGGCAGGGTCTTTGGCAAGCGTAATGATGCTTGTTGGCCAGTGTACATTTGGTGGTGAGCCAATTAACCAGGAACTAGCGCAGCGTCCGCCGCAGCGCGCCCACAAGTATGAAGGATGTTCAGTGCGTGGCAGTAGGAACGTATTTAACTGCTCACACACAAGTGCAAGACTACGTGCTGTGAGGGCTTGGGGCAAGCTTGAGTTTGCCCTTCTCTGTATTCGATTGCTCGGCATGTAGCAGCAGGTGTTTTTCGAGTCATTTCCAGTCTTGCAACATTAGGTAACGCCTGTCCCACTAAAGGACGATATTTGTTTTTCAGGTGTTGGCAAGTTCGACTTTCGCGGGTAAAAAAGATTTGAAACGTCAGGATCAGTTCAGTGGTGCTGCTTGGAAAGCTGCTAGCTTAGGATATTGCAGTTCATGAGTGCAAGCTTCTTCCACTGTGCAGCTTCTACAGGTTGCGCACAGCTGACGGATCGTGGGTATCTGTATCCTCGACGTCCACCACTGTGGCTAAATAGCCTTTGGCCTTTGCCTCGTAGTTCATTTATGTGAACGAGGGGGGGTTACCAGTGTTTCTACGTTCGTTAAGAGTATGCCCAGTCACCCCAAGGAGTCTGGCACCAATGTACAGTTCATAAGATTCTTCTGCAGATATTAAATTATTGCCCAAGCAGCCTTTTGCTAGGAAGGCTCAAATTTCCTCATTATCACGCTGCTCATCTGGAGGCATCGTTCCACTGGTGCCAAACAGCCCCCCCACACAACCACAACCACGCTTTGTTGGCTGTAATGCACAAACAATGTAAGCAGTTGGTGGAAGCTCTTGCTTACGTACCGTTCGTCAAATGGAACCAGGTAGGGGTTCGTGTGCCCACTGGGGACACACTTTCCCTCACCGGCGATGCTAGAGCGACTACCAATTTCTGTGTTATGCGGCTGGAACGAATTTCCAGGCAGTAAGCATTAACTGTTCTGCAACAACAATATATTACCAGCAGTAAACAGCTGGATAAATATACAGGGCTGGAACGGTGAGGATGCTGCATACAGCAATGCTTGGCGTCACTGCTCGCCCACGGCGAGTGGCTGGGGGCGCATGCTCTCTTCACAAGCCCCGGTTCAAATGAACGTACGTGAACCTTCCCCAGTACGCTTCATATCCCTTTCTCCGTGATATTTACTTATTAATACTCCAGGAATTCTGCGTAGCCAAATATGGAGGATGATCGAGCTACCGTTGAGACGACGGTCTCGGCGGATCCCCATCCCGACAACAGTGAAGTCGGTTCGAAACTGGACGTCCGGAAAATTGCCAGAAATTTCCTGCGAAAACAAGCTGGCATGCAGCCTTGGATTTTACTCGTTGCGGGTTTAGTGTTGCTTGTTGCAGTACATAGAGGCCTAGCTTCTCGTGCCTTGCCGAGCTCCATCAGTTCGATCTTGCAGAAAAGTGGTCGCCTACTGAAGAGAGGGCAAGAGCGTGATGATTGGGGGCTATGTTCACTTGAAGACTTTGAACATGCGCTTCCTCCGTCGCTAAAGGAGGGCAAGAAGTCACTAGCTGCTTTGGCCTCTCAGCTTTCCGGCGGTCCCGGAAAGGACCTAGCTCAGCCCTACCAGCTTGCACTTGCTCAGGCTCTTTCGAACGGCTCCAGCGAGAACTTGGTTGGAATGACGATATCCTTACAGAATCTGCAACCCTTAGATAGGAGCTCTACGGAGGCGCCTCTGCCTAAACAGGATCTGCTCGTTACTGGGGTTTTGGGTTATTACCGTTGGAGTTTGGTTGTGAATACTGTGGACGTCGAGACCAAAAAGGAGTTTTCTGTTAGTATCCCCATCGTGAGTAATAGCGATGTCGATAAATATGACGACAATGGGCTTGAGCAACAAGTGAGGGTGGCGGCTGAGGAAGAGAAGGGGGCACTCCTGCAAGTGTGCGGCAGCATTCCAGCCAAGTCAGCGGCCTCACAGAAGGGCGTGGCAGTCCCGTACTACACCGGCCAAGTATTACGTTTGGATAATATTCATACGACAGGGGATTTCAAGATATTTAACACTGTATCAGTGATGGGAAAGGTTGTGGGGGATATTAGTAGTGTGGTATCGATAGCTGAGGGATTGGAGCCAAACATGAAGAATTATATCGCTCATCGCTTGTTGCATATAGTGTTGAAACTTGAGCGTTCAGCAGTTGGCCATATGCAGCTTGGCTGGAGGTCCCTTTTCCTGCGTGAAGACGGCTCTTTTGTGTTGGGAAATTTCTGCAGCTGCGCTCCCTTTGGAGAAGAGAAATCCCGCTTAAGCGGCCTTGTCCAATTGATCCAAGAACCTTCTGTTTTGACTCGCTTTGTTGACTCCAAAAGGCTTGTGCCTGATGCTAAGGCAAACTTGTGGAATCTTGGGGTACTTTTATTTCAGCTCTACACGGGAACTGAGCACCCCTACGCAGAGGTGGTGGGGCCGGGCTGGAGGAGTGATCCAAGCGCAGCCGCATTTCAGCTGTTGAGAATGGAGATACGTTCTGAAATGCTAATCCCGCAATTGGAACGGTCGAAAGTCCCATTGAGGTGGGGAGGCCTCATTTTGCGTCTGCTGGAGCCCCAGAGTGTTAACAGGATAACTGCCTTCCAACTTGTGCAGGAATTCCCCGATCTTATCGGCCCCCAATCTGTCGCAAATGATTAGTTCAGCGGGCACAGGCTCCAGAGACCACACAACCAACTTTCCAGGCTTCCATGAACATCCCCACCATAAATAGAACCAGGCTTGCTTGAAACGAAGAGTTATAGTGATGGTTGCGAGAGGCCGCTGTGGAGGAAGGGCAGGCAGTTCTGCAGGCTTGCATCAGCATCCTTCTGAGTGCAATTTCCGACAAGAACGTAGTAGTCCCATTGTACACTTGTCAAATATCAGGTCTTAATGATATTAATTCGGTAGGGGACCTCTCCATCTATTGTACTGCAGCACTGGTGGAAGAGGCTGTGGGTGGCTTGTCTTGGATACGGGTAAAGGGAGGTCGAGCGAAGAGCGCGAGATCACATCGCTTTCCGTTTGCTACAGATAGTGGTGAAAGTTGACCTTCCAGGGATTGACCGTCTGTAGGCCAGTTGGAAGCCCCTTGTCCTGCGCGAAGACGGCTTTTCCATGTTGGAGTACTTTGCACGAGCGCTTCGTTTGGAGAGAAGGAAAACCTCTTGAAGGGCATTCCTTCATCATACGAAGAACGTTATGCTCTGTGGCATTTTGATAAAACGTTGTTTCTTCTCTGAAGCTGAAGGGGGAATGTGGGGCATCGGGGCTCTTCTCTTTCAGCTTCACACAGGAACCGATTATTGCCGACGAAAGCAAGCGAAAATATGAGAGCAGGTGCTGAGGAAGGGTCTCGTTCTGAGGTTCTGGGTTCGCATCTGGAAGCGCCGGAAGGAGGGAGGAGTTGAGCAGAGGTTATGCTTCTGCTGGCCCGCGGCATTGGCGGCTTCTAAGGTCTCAAATTTCGCCGACCGCTTTAACAATCCTGCTCAGTAAAACGTCAGCCAGTTTTGAGCTGTTTGCCGAGCAGCAACAGCTGCCACTGGCAGGGTATTTGGTAAGGGTAAGGGTGCTTGTTGGCCGGCGTACACTTGGTGGTTCCTATAGATGAACTAGCGCAACATACGCCGCAGCGCGCTTACAGATATGCAGAATACATAACTGTAAGCGCGCTGAGGCGCACGTTGCGTTCAATGCGTGACAGTAGGCACGTATTGAGCTGCGCACCTACAAGTACAGAACCACGTGCTGTGAGTGCTTGCAGCAAGCTTGAGCTTGCCCTTCTCTGCATTCGATTGCTCGGCAGGAAGCAGGTAAAGTTCTCCGAGTCATTTCCAGTTTTGCAGCATTAGGTAATAACCGTCCCCTTTGGGAACGCTGGTTGCTTTTCAGGTATTGCTAAGTTCGGATTTCGCGAGCAAAGAAGGCCTCAAGCGTCTAGATCAGTTCAGTTGTGCTGTTTGAACAAGTGTTAGCCAGCAGTTACAGAAAGCAAGCTTCTTGGCACAGACCATTGGTGCGCAGAGCAGCAGTTTGTTACTCCTTTAATTAGAGCCGAAAATAGCCCCCGTCACGCTTGGGCGACCGTGCATGTTTCTTTGCGCGTGCTACGAGCTACATTGTCAACACTTGCCATAGCAAGTGTCACCCGTGCTTTTTTGTTCCCATGGGGTGGTCCCCGGTGCTTTGGAAACCAATAGGTGGACACAGGTAACGTTGTTTTCGCATATGCTTACTCTGCGGATCAACGGTCGCTCCCAGGGGATCGAAGGACATACGATTATAATCCAGGGAAGGCAGCTAACGTCCCCTGCTGTCTTCGTGCGCCTTGGAGCGAAAGGAGGCGCCTTGTGACGGGTTGCAGCACAACTTGTGCTATCCCCGCTGCAAGGCAAACCAACGTGCGAGCATCACGAAGCCTGTGCAAAATGGTGCTAAGTCTCTGACCAATTAACTGCTCAGCGACTGCAAAAGCGCATGAGGGGGCTTCGAAGTTCCCACAGGCAGGAGTGCACATACAAAAGCATGCATTTCTACATACGCGCCATGCTACTTGAAAACCGCACCGTGCAAGCCACCACTATCGAGGCCAGTGTTAGCAGGTACTTGTTACAGAATAATATTACATTGTACCCTGTACGTTTTATATGCACTTGCTGAGTAAACATGCTGGCCACAGTGCGGTACGAATGCAGCCCATTTTTTAGCGCGTGTGTAGCACACCACAAGCAGTTGGGGTACGTCACGTAGAACTCTGGTGTAAAGACTGAAGGCTCTCTACGTTTTGCTCATGGTCTAGGAGGTCTAGTGTAGTATTTTGCCTTCAAGTCGTAGTATGTCGGCGACCTGCTGTCTGCGAGCTGCTCCGCGCTGTCAGATGGACGGTAGCGTTCAGGCCATCTACCGCTCGACGGCAGGAAGGCGTTGTGCATGGGCCTTAATAGCCCGAGAACATGTGTGGGACGAATGCAGAAAACTGGCTTCCACAGTCTTCTGGGACACAGGACCGTTTACGGATGCGCACACATTTAGTGTTGCTCCGTTTGGTATGTGGGTGAAGTGTACCAAACGGCACTAAACAAAACCCTCCGGCATACTAAGCTGCTAACATTTGGACCTTTGGCTCTCTGTCAAGTATTCTGGCCACCTCACAGATAGGTGTAGTCTAATTCACTTGGGATACTCGTTCCTGCTTTGCTGAGGTCGTTACCTCTGCCTGGCGAGCCCTATCTAATAATAAAGAGATATCACGTTCTGGATGCGTCCATACTGAGACAGGCAAAACAACTCCATACGCAGTCTTCCCGCTAGCTGCTCTAATTCAAGTGTTCCCGCGTTTCTCTAGTGTGAGCATATGCATCTTTAGTATTGGTACGGGCCTCGACGCAGGCAATGATAGACAATCTCTGTATCAAGCAGTCTTGGAGACCCTCAATGGCTTTCTCACCAAGACTCATCCACATGCCTTGCCTACAAAAGATGCAGACTTCATAAAACATCGCCAGTTATTCGGCGTGCTGGACTGATAGTTTTCAGTGCGCGCCTGTGCGTATACCTTCGTTCCTGCACAGTATCCACGAGTTCTATGATTTGGTGCCCAGGTATTTGCCTTGACACTCCTGTAGATATCTGATTGTGTGCATTCCCCCTTAATGTGGCGCGCATTTAAAGGCTTACAGAAGAGAGAGTTAATTCCCACTACAGTGCACACCTCGTGGCGTTGTATCTGAGAGCTGGACGACATCGCCACGGGATCCTCGCAAAAAAGGAGGCAGCTGTGGAATATCACTCATCCATAACTGTTTCTGCGGGGCACGTGGCTGATTGTGGAGTGCTGCTAGCATGCTTCCGTTTTGCAGTGACGCCGTAAAACAGTGGGAGATGCAGAACAGGTCGTCCCACTTCCTCACGTGAGCACGGATACGAAGAGCCACGCCAAGGGCAGCCAGCCAACGAAACAGGGAGTTCAGCCTCATATTTCTACATTCTGAGGCGCATTGGCTCCGCAGCAAGCAGTCTAGCAGGCGCCCTGCTTGACCCCACATAAACGCTCAGACAGGCCGAAATGTTCGTTGAAGAACGAATATTCCGAACAGGACTCCGCGTTACATTGTGCCACTCCTGTTCATACTGAGGCCGAATCATTCTCGAGGGAATTGTGTTCGCTGGCTGGCACTACTGGTGAATATCTTGATTTTCGAGCTCTAAAAATGCTCCAGTGTTCCCGCATCCTACACATTTTGGGCATCCAATATGTAAGAAATCGCGCCTTTGGTTACAATAACGTGGGTCGTGATCTGCACTGCAGAGCAACCCTCGGTAGCGACGGCGGTGGCAATAGTCTTCACAAAAAATTCAGGAAGGCACCACACTCAATTCTAAGTGCATCAGAGGGAAACAACCATTTATTTAAAGCGTCCACTATTTTGGGGATTATCATATCGCTTGTATGTGATACACCACATGCTTCCAAGGTATTGTAGCGTACCGCTTAATAATGAGGTATTTTGCGTGGAGCAATGCTAGCCGAATCCTTCGCTAAACCCAAGCCACAAGGAAAGGTTTTCATTATTTTTGCGTCAGTAACAGACACTGAAAGCATCGTATGTTATCGGGGAGGTACCGTTAAGATAGTCTCACAAGCCAGCCTACCGTGGCCGCCTTTCCCTCCTCTTGGGTACACCTGCTCTTCTGTGGGAAGCAGCACCTTCTACAGTTGCCTCCATGCCTCCGAACACCATTTCTTATCTATGCCCCTTTCTCGTTTAGTTAAGCCAGGTATGTAGACATCTCTCCCTCCGATTAGCTGTCCTTCATGCCCCCACAGACGGCGCCCCAAAATCGACGAAAGTCTTGTGAGGTGGAACCCTCCCCTTTATAAGAACAAGAGAGCAACAACAGTTATCTCATTTATTCGTGCACCTTTAGCGGAGAACTTGCAAGGGTCAAAGCATTTGCAAACGACGGCACCTGCAAATTGCTTTCCCTCATCCATAGCCAATGGTGAGACCATTGGCTGCCAGGAGCCGCGCACAAGACTCACACCGCTCCAGCGATCTGGAAGTCAAAAGGAAACTTTCACTGTTAAAGATATGTTATATAGAGGATTCGCAATAAAATCTGGAAGAACAACCAGTCCTCGTCATACGGCGAGGGCGACAGGGCAGACGTGTTCCACCCAGCAGCAGCAGCAACAGCAGACATGAACAAGGAAAGACCACGCAACAGATGTGTTTGGCTTAGAGTATCTGATCTATGAGTGGCAACAACAGCTGCGGAGCGGGGGCGCCGCCCGCTTCCCCTGCTGCGGATCGGGAGATGCTGCGGGTTGGATTTGTGCCGAATACTTCATCATCAACAACAGCAGTTGCACCGGAAGGTACAAACCTACGATCGGGAGATGCTGAAGACAAAAGACAAGCAAAATCAGCAGCTGCAGTAGAAAAGGCGACGGCACAATCAGCTGCTGCCCATGCAGCCGCTGCGTCGGCAAGAGGATCAGCGGCTGCAGCCCAAGCTGCTCTTGCTGCAGGTGTTGTCGACGAGCAAGGGAGTGCTGCTAGTGTAGAAATAGGAGGAGCAACAGGCATACCCGAACCAGTTGCATCATCGCTTTCCGCAGTCATTGGTGGGGAGGCAGCAGCTGCTGCTGAATTGGCTGCAGAAGCTGCAACATCGGCTGCATCAGAGGCAGCCAATGCGGCGGCAGCAGTTGCCGAAGCAGCAGCTAGCAATGACGATTACCAAAACTCGTCTCAGCTGGAGGAAATTATCGTTAGTCAGGGGCTGCGTGTCGCCCTAGCCCTCGAAGCAGCTGCAGCTGCAGCAGCAGCTGCTGCTGATGCTGCGAGGCAAGAAGCAGCAGCAGCAACACGCCAGGCTGCGGAGAAGTCAAGTAGTGCCATCGCTTCTGCTGCCCAGAGATGTCACGAAGCAGCTGCTTCCGCCTCGGCCTCGGCTGTTGCTGCTTTTTCAGCAGCAGTTTCATCTGCAGCTGACTCCATCACTTCAACTGCTGCTGCAGCTCGTGCTGCTATTGGAGAAGTCACGAATGCAGCAGCACAGAAGCTGATGGAAGGAGCCAGAGCTTTCGAAGATACTATAGCAACGAAGACAGCTGCGTTGGAAAGCTCTCTGCTCTGGAGGGAGTATCTTAAGTCTCACGACAGAGAATTCAGCGGGAGCCCCAGCAGCAGCAGCAGTAGCTCCGTGGGGTACAGGCATGGTAGCTCCTCACAGTTGAGCAGCAGCAGCGACAGAAGCCAAATACGGGGTCGGAGCTCTCTTTTGCACTATTTTTCGTCTGACTACGAGCGAGAGGGTAGTCAAGGTGGGGCGCCAGAAAGCCCACTGAATAGCGCTGATACAGCAGAGTCAGAAGCAACTGCAGAAGAAAAGTTAACAGGAGACGCCGCCATTGCTGCGTTTATATCTGGTTGCGAGGAATCTTTACTTCCTCGTGAGTCTCACTTGGACGTGAGCACATCTTCTGACGAGGAGAAGGGAGCATCAGCGACTGCAGCAGCTGTATCTCTAACCGGCAACGTCCCGCGGAAGAACAGCGTAGATGCAATTGTTGCCGCTGCTGCCGCAGAGGCGGCAGCTTACGAGGCCATGGCGAAGCGGCAGCTGCATCAGCAGTACGAGATCAGTGGTTTCTCAAATCCCCTCGGTTGCCTTGCAGAGTCTCCTGCTGTACAAGGCCCCGCTGCTGCGGCAGAAGGAGCGCCAGCGATAAGATCAAGGGCAGCTCCAAAAGAAACAAAACCAAACTCCATAATCGCATTAATCACACCCACTACAGACTGTTTGGCAACTCCACCACCGGAAGTAGCAGTAGCACCAGAGGCAGCGGCACTACAGTCAACTGTGCCTTGTGAAGACACCGAGGGAAGGCAACCGCAACTGAAAATACTGCAGACGCAAGCTAGGCACACCGCTACGCTTCCCTATAACTTGGAGGAACTGCAGGAGCTCGAGGAGATGCAGGGGCACGAGGGCTTGCAGGAGCAGGAGCACCTGCCGGTTCACCAGAACCAAAGGCTACATCGGCTGAGAGGCGAGGGCTTAAGGGGGCGTCCCAAGGTATATCAGAATGGGGTAACAATCTGTGGGAGCAGCGGCAGGAGAGTCAGCAGCAGAGGTGGTGGTGTGAGTAGTAGCAACAGCAGGCAGTCAATCCCAGCCTCCCACAGACATTCGACGGTTTGCTCCATTAGCAGCAGGCTGCCATTCAGGTTAGAGCGCAGAGCCGGAGGCAGGACTGGTAGAGGCCGCAAGGGGCAAAGCCGGTCTTTGCTCGAGTGTAGACTTGAAGAATTTATTGAAAAGTGCAATGCACGCCAGTCGGAGGATACTCTCTGCAGCTGCAGCAGTTGCAGCAGCGGCCAGCAAGTGTCGGGCCTGCTCCCGGTCAGTTTGCGGCAGCTCCAGGAGCCCATGGGTGGCGCCTCTGCAGTATCCGCCTTGGACAGTGCACCTGCTGTCCAAGATCAACACAACGTTTCCGGGTCCACTCTAGTTGCAGGCATGGCAAGCCGAGCTTTGCTCGATTGCCCGCACTTCTCGATGCCCACGATATCATTTCAGCAGCAGGATACATGCCACCGCAGAGAATATGACAGAGATGAGGATGAAGTGAAGCGACTTGTTTTGCTATTCCCTTTCGTCTGTGTCTCCGTAACCGATCTGGTTATGCTTTCTCACTGTATGGAAGACCCCCGGGTGCACGTAAGCCGCAAGTGCTGGGGCTGTTGAGATTACTTTTGTTCCCTCAGTGCCATTGCGTTTTGGCCTTCAGCTGCTGCTTCGCATGTGAGGTGACTGGTGTGTGGATTCCTTTTGCTGGCGTGATTATTGAGCAGTTCTTGCTGTTGATGCAATGCCCTGCATCAGGAGCTACGGTAGTGGCTGTTTGCGTTCTGTTTCGCTGGTGCAGACAAGAGTGGCTGGGTTGGAGATAACCGCTGGTGCATTGGAAGATCCTGTGAGTTTTGCGCTCCTTGCAGAAGTGTTGCAACACCTTCAGGAGAGAGGCCTGTTGCATTCTTTGGTTTTGCTGCGCATCATGGGATATAGCAACGCTGATCTGAGGGCTGTACTGTCTTCTGAGAAGCAGCACCGCATCCACGAGCTGCAACAGTCTGCTGCTCCACAGTCCCGCCTTCTTCGCCATGAAGCGTTGGCTGCATTTGCTGCTACCGTTGATGCTGCGAGGCCAGCGAGAGAGAGACGGGTTAGTGTAATGAGAAGCAGACACTGCAGCCGCGGCAGACAACCTGGAAACCCTAGAGAAGTGAGCAGCTGCGGAAGTATCGGTGGCAGCAACGGCAGAAGCTGTAGCTGCTCGCCAAGCACCAACTGGGTCGAGCAGCCGCTCTACGTGCCCCCATTGCAGCTGCAGAGGAGCTTGACAGCACTTTCTCGTATGCTTCCGCAGCTGCGGCGGCTGGAGCTATTGGCACCAAAAGCAATGGGAGAGAATTATTCTGAAGTGTCACAGGTGGTTGCAAGTAAACAAGCGGGAGTAATAGCAGGACGTCCCGTCTTCTCAAAGATAAGTCGTGTCGCCGCGTACATCAACCCGTTCAGTGTATTGGCTCAGGCCCTAGGCTTCCAGTTGTTGAGCATTAGGGTGACAGAGCTGCTGCTGCACTGCAACAACTGCTGCCAGCGCACTGTAGCTGGTCCACGCGGTAGGAAGTTTCGTCATTGCGGGGACCCAAGGGGCGACATTTGCAGTTGCAGGAGATCAGGATGTACACCCAGGAACAGTATTAGAGCTCGAGACCGTATGACTGAGCAGTGCGTGCATCCCTCCATCACCACAAGCGCCTCCACTGTCAATGAGCAGAACGGCAACACACCACTGCACTTCATCACAGGCATAACTAGCATGAGTAGAGCTAGTGACTGCTACTATGGGCCCCCTTTATCATCTTCGGAAGGTAGGAACGGCCTCGACACGACCCTGAAGAGAACTGTTTGTATGTCCTGTGGAGCTACCGCTGCTGCGGCGGCAGTTGTGGACGGCAAGGAGCAACAGCTGCAGGGTTATGTACTAGACTCCGCAACTTTTGCAGGGATGCGCCAGTTCGACGGTTAGAAGTCGGCGGTTGCGAGCGTAGGGCAATAAATGCAGCAGGGCCCGCCCCTGAGCAGTGCTGTGTTGCAGGAAGACCTGATATATGCGGGATCTTACGGCTGCTTCGGCGCCATTCACTGTGCTGTACATTTCTCTTTTGTACTGGCTTACTAGCCCGACCATCCGTGCATCGGTACAATATTCTCCCCACTCATGCTGATGCTTCGATGTATACTTACACCACTGCCTCCTTGTGCACTTCTTACGGCGTGAACTACGATCACAATCTCATTCAGATCCACTGGCATCCTACAGAGGACGGCATATAGCCACGCCGCTAGATTGTTTGTATGCTATATATGCTGCCGATTTGTCCTCATGGCGAAGCACTTGCTGGCAACCCCTGAGGGGCTGCGAGGTGCGGAGGATTGGGCGGTTTGGCTTCGGAGCGAGCAGCAGACTACAGGTGAAAAACAAGCAACCCCCAACAGGAGATATCTATTGGCCTAGGTTAGCTTCCAGTTTGATAGCTAAGTGGACGCGAACGTTGGCAGGGCCCTTTAGCTTGACTTCAGAAGGAGAGGTTCCATTACGCACACAGCAGAACAGCTAGCAGTCCGAGGACTACACAACTGTGATGCCATCGGCAGGAACCGTCTCCTAACACGGTGGAAGGCCAAGCAGAATTCGTGTGCATCTACTTACCAAACACACAAATAACTGAGAAAATACCCTCCAGCAGGTGACAATACTCAAATTGTTAGCTCTATGGCGGGGCTTCCTCCGAAGCCGCAAATATGGCTTCTAAAGGAGTAACTTTTATGCCAGAAGGCCAGCGGTGGCGGCGTACGCCTGCCTACATTTCAGATTCCGACGATTCTTCGCTTCTATCGTCGAAAGGTTTGATGCCTACCGATCCAGTACACAACAGAAGAGCTTCACGCCTTCTCAACTTGTCCTGTACAAGCTACACGCGTGCCTGTCTAGTGCCAATTATCTGTCCACCTTCGCGTGTGTCTGATGTTCTCTATAGTAGTAAGTATGCCTGGAGCCCCACCCTTTCTGAACTACGAGATACACATGATCACCACTGTCTGTGCTGCTGTCGGTTAGTTCACGGCTGTGTAGCTACCTAACCTAATTGTTCCCTGGCCTTCTGTATTTTAATCTTTCTTGTCGTTTCAGCCTTTGTAAGGGCCTGCGAGGTTTTGAGAGTGCGTAGTGCCTCGTGTCGAGCCGTTTCCAGTTTCTGCAACCTCTGTACAAGCAAGTGCAGCGTCCCACAAAACACAGTTCTCTCTCCACTAACCAACAGCATGCACACAGTCCACAGGAAACACTTCTGCGTCAATATCCCCATACGCCTACAGTAACTCGGTGCATGCCTGTGACCATCATACTTAAGTGTTGTGCCTATACGCACGCGAAATCCATGGGAAGTTATTTGGTTAAGGGGAGTAACTGCTAACGTGGATACTATCACGGGCACGAATGGAGGCTGATGGCCAAATAGACGCAATCTACTGAAGCTGCGGAACATACAAAACCTCACAAGGAAAGCCCAATGTATAATATAAGCGTGAAAGTGATGGATGGCCCCTCCGACTGCTACTCCTTAGTTTTGTCGAACTATGCGGCACTGCACACCCCGCCATGCTCCTCTGACCTCGTTTTGTCGCTTCTCTACTTCCGCTTGCCCTTCAACAGTTCCCATCGAATCCTTTGCCAAGTATGCCCTCCTACCAACACACCTGTTGCCCATCTTGCGACAAATATAGCTGGGGACGCGGGACAGAGACGGACTGAAGCACAAGCAGCCAAGACAGTCAAACCCCGGAGGGAAGCATGAGAAGCTCAGGAAGATAAATGCTAACTCGGGCAGTAACATTGGACGGAAGACAAAAAAAGAAGAAAGAAATGAGCAGGCAGCAACGTAACTCCGGTGCAGAGCGAAATTCATACCAAAGAACGTCTAAGAATAGTTCACCTCGATGAAGACCATGTATGACCTGGCGTGATCGACACCCCGTCACTCCCAATGACGAAGGGTCTCAAACAAGCCACATCCAAGTCAAACCGGATTTAAACTCTTGGAACAGGCTGTGCCGTGGAACAGGCTAAGGTGTGCCCTGCTTTCCGTCCAACACAGTTGGGACTGGCTAGCACACGAGGAGCAGCGTACGATGAGAACGGCGTAACCAAACCACGCAAAAAGCACCCAATCCGAAATCAATTTGTCAAAGTAATACCTGCTGCTCAACATGAAAGGGGATCGCTAATTGTGTGTTGTTGGTGTCATCGCTGCCCGTGAACCCTGTGGGATGCCGAAGTCAAGAGGGGGGTTGCCTTCTTAGCTTATATGGGACTACAGCTAGAGCTTTGAGAATGCAACATATTGAGAGTGTGAGTGCGGTACTGTTTTTAATGAACTGTCGAGGTTTTTCCAGAGGTTGGGGAAACGGCCGTGTATGATGCTGAATCGACATGCTACTGAGGCGGCGGGCATGTAGCATTCCCTGTCTTCGATGGGTTCTACTAGTCGCTCCATAAGAAGTCCATGCTGAGTATAACTAAAGCCGTTGATCCTAGCTTAGGACCGTTGTAACGTACTATATGCCAAGTTGGAGTGTGTAACTATGCCTGCATACACAACTCGCAATTAAGGAGCGAGCACGCATTAACGGTTACGTGCAGCTTAAGTGCATGCAGCAAAGGGGTTTAGTTGTGGATGCATGCGGGGTTGTCTTGCCTCGCAAGCAGCATCAAGGTGGGTTGCAACTTATCACGTCGCCTGGTCTCACACCATCCCCACACCAGTGGACGGCTAGGTGGAGGAATGCTGAGGACAGGAGGGGACCCCAGTATTATTTGTGAACTATTTCCCTTTGTGCACTTCTTCGTCGTTCCGTGAAGAACCTACGCACTATATAGAACCTCCCTCGATCATCTTCCCTTGGGAAACAGCTTGCGCGCCTATCACCTCAGACGATTTAAATGCAGTTGGGGGCTGTCATCTCATATCGGTCCCCGATCTGTAGACCACGATAATGTCGTCTGGAAGCCATATGGCCGCCTCTGTCGGCAACAATGATGTGACAATCGGGTCCACATTAAGAGTCCAAAATCACCATAATTTGGCCCATTTCCTATTCGATCCCGCATTTTGGGCAAATAATTTTGCTTACTACCCATGTGGTACTTCAAGCCGGATAGACGCAGCCGTAGGCTGTAACTCCTGTAGATAGCTCCAGATATCATATCCACTATCCGCAGCCTGCGTTGTGTGGCTCGTTCACAAGTCGTGGCAGAATTTGAACAACCACAAAATCAATCATAGGGATACGCTGCATGTTGCTTGCTGGTCTGGCTATACCACTCCATTCCCCTTTTCTTAATGTCGAATTATGTAGTGCCTCCGCTGCCAGACGCCAAGGGAGACACCCGCTTCTTCCAGACTTATCGGGCTTTCTGGGTGCTGAATTCGCATGCACCTCTACGTTTCCGTTGCTACTTGTGTGGGGGCTGGCACTCATAACCCTAATAACCACAAGCCCAATACCTGGGTCATTTCTAACCCATGCTCCCTCCCGGAAGTTTCACCCGCCGCTCTTTGTGCATAGGTACTTCATCCTCTCGGTTGTACCAATCCCTAGTTTCCGTTTTGCAGGACACCGTGCCACCGCCGGACAATCTTGCAGTGAACCTTCGATTGGAAGGCTGTGTACCAACACCAGAGATACCAAGGACACCTCTGCTCAGATATAGCTTAGCACACCATATCTGGATTTTCAGCGGAGGAGCATATATTTATCACAAATTGGTGCCGTTATACAAGGGTTGCCCGCTGAATGTAATACAACTGATGTACTACGCAACAAGTCTCCAAGCCGTTGTTCTTGTTAGCTGCAGATGACAGAAACAAAGTAATCTCATTAATGCGAAGGGAGAGCAAGGGCTGCGGTTTTGACGAAGGCATTTGAAGAGCACTAAGAATTTCTAGTGCTCATTTTCAGAAGGCGACTTCCCTACTAATCTCTGCTGTGGACTGAACAGCCTTGCTGTTACTGCTGCCGCTACTTGGTGGAGTAGAGTATCCTTATCAGTAGTTATTGGGCTGCCGTCACTCGCAGGTGCACATGCGCATTCAAACAGAATATTCAGAGTTCGCTAAGTTTGTCACGGTCTGTAGTGCTCGTAGACAACAATAGATATAAAACAGACCCACACTTCCTCACGTATCAAGTTGGATAGGACTGACTGCAGGCATGAACAACTGCCTTCGAGAAACACGGCATGTCAGTACGTACAGACGTTATAGTTCGCTTACAGTTCAACAAAAGTCGTTATGGGTGCAAATGCTGCAAAGGAAGAACGCATCGACTGATCTAGGAGGACACATGTAACATTGAGAGGACATTCCCACACATTTTCAGCATGCTCTAATCACAGTTTGGCGTAGGGATTCCACTCGTGTTTTCAGCGGAAAAGTAGAATCTGCTGTTGGACCACCATGCAAATCAAGCCAATATGCTCGTGGGAATAAAATAGCCGTGGCATTTCATCATGATATGCTGCATGGCATGGCCGCCTGGAAGGAGTTGCGAAGAGGAGGCAATACACAGAGACCATGCAGGTACGCAGCTGCTTTGTCTCGGTCTGTGCATCATCGTAGCCTCGCGCCATGCATACTTCCTGGCACCATGCGTGCACAGGCTGGATCACAGACATGCTCAAGCCAGTAGCTTTGTATATGCCTCAATACGGGCATCATGCAACCAATGCAATTGGTCGGTACTATAGAGCGCGCAAAAGGCCAGGGCAACGTTCTGCATGCGCCTACTTCTAATCAACCTCAGAAAGTTGGTTCGCGACGAGGGGGAACACTTAACGAGGGACAGGCGCTTTGTCCACAGTAAGAATTCAAAGAGAGATCCCCGCCGGAAAGGCCCATTAAAAAATACAGATGAAGAGGTCAGCATGGGCGGGTGCTGTACAATTGTGGGGGGTTAAGAGGAGTTGCATGAAGGAAGGTTCCGGCCAGTTACAAGTGCTCCCATTGCAAACCACCAGAGGCGGCTTCCGCTACATCTGGTGCTGCGGTGAAGAAGAATGCGCCACTGGAAAGGGCGTTTCTTGTGTAAGGGCCTCGGTCTTCGCAGGAAGCCCAGGGGATCCACAGCTACTGGTGGTGCTGCTCTTGTTGCTGCTGCTGTTGGCTCCGTCACTACTGCTGCAGCTTCCACCGCTGTTGAGGCTGCCGCCACTGATCGTGCTGTTGTTGCTGCAGCTAGTGAAACTTGTGAATTCCACCGACAGCTCAGTCAGGGGAGCTGCCTGCTGCATCTGCATCTGCTGCGACAGTTCTTGCGCTGCCTGGGGCATCCCTTCCACTTGGTCCTCACACCGTACAGGGTCGCTACCATCTACAGTGTAGTGTATGCAGCAGTCCGTGTCAACTCTCACACCTAGCTGGCGCATCCGGAGGCTGCCGCTTCCTAAAGCCGCCAAGCCAGAGAGCTCGATGTAACGGGGCTTGCCGCCTATAGCATGCACTGCCACACCCGACAAACCCACTGCCCCTCCCGCCGCTCCGTCACCGCCCTTAGCATCAGCAGTATCAGAGCAAGTAAGATCTGGTGCGGCGAACAGGACCGAAGTACCAGGTACTCGTAAAGCTACCCTCACGCGCCGGACGGACTCCGAAGCCTCGGTGACTGCCGCTACCACTGACGCCACAGCGCAGTCGACCTGAGGGATTTTCACAAGAATAACCCAATAACCCAAACAGCCTTGGACTGCACTAACAACACTGGCTACACCAGTAGCAGCAGCAGCAGCAGAGCAGCAACAGCAACATCACATCCAAAAATCAAATATACTAGAGACATTCTACCCTTGAAATGCATTGCTCTCCAACGGAAAATGCCAGAGCGCCAACTACGAAATGCGCTTTACCGGTGTGGCTCCGGAAACCTCGGTCATCATTCTTCTCGAGAATAGCCTCGATCCTTGAGCAGAACGGCCCCTGCTGCTGCCTTTCTGGTTCGTTTGTTGCTGCTGTTGCTGTTGGACAGTCGCGACAGCAGTCGCGGCGGCGTGGTGGCAATTGGCGGCAAGGTGTATGGGTAGATCGACGGGCGGGAAGTCATAGAGGCCCTGGGGCTGCATACGCAGCCTGGGAACGCAAGAAGGGCATGGTTTGAGGTGAGGAAACGAGAAGACTGGGGCTGTCGGGCGAGGTCCTGGAGGCGTCAATGAGACCTGTGGAAAGAAAGCAGTTCGCCTGCACTCGGCGTTGTGTTTGCTTGCAATCTTATTGGTTAGCGTCTGCGTCCCACTCTTCTGCAAGCTGAGTGCTTTGTTGCTTGTGTGTGTGCCTGCACCTAGGCCACCAACATCGCTGGCCAAAAAAAAACACATCTCTAGGGATATCCAGTAAGTGTTATCTTAGCTTCTGTGCTGACTGACGCGGAGGGTGGCTCGCGCAGCTTCCCCGCTGTTGAAGCCGGAGTAGCCGAGGCTTTCTAACATGCCGAAGTGGCATTCATGAACAAGCAGATACACCGCAGACTCAGAGGGAGGTGGAGAACAAAGAAAAGCCTGCGTGACAACAAGGAAAGCCTACACAGGCCACACGGTTTCCGGAGCAAGTCCAACGAACATCTGCAGTTACCAATATACAATTCATATTCAAGCTACACGTGTACCATACACACATATCCTCATATATAAAATGCTGAGTGGTCACTCAGATAAACCGTTACGAAGGCCAAAGCTGTTGGGTTTGTCGATGGAGCTGCATCCTAACCTACCCGTTCAAGCACCATACACGCACAAAGAGCAATCAACCTTTCACATAGTTTCAACATACATGGCACAGCCTGATAAGGCGAGACAAGACTCACTGAAGACAAGACAGAATCCGTGGGATCCACTTTGAGGCCAGGTATCGCGCAGTCGCAGATCAGAGCAGAGACATCAAGCGGCGGGGGGCGCAAATCCATCCCCTGGAAGCGCAAGAGCAGCAGAATCAACGGGGCTGGCAAAAGAATGCCATGCAGTGTCACTTTGCCGTCGGGCAAGTGCGATCCCACTCCAGATAGGAGAGAAGGTAGAAATAGGCAAAACATAAAACACACAGACGACACATGAGGAACACACAAACAGACAGGCGACAGCAGAGCCCTTGGGCAAAGAAAGCACACCGAGAACAACCTGTGGTAGAAACGAAATTCCTCAGCAGAAACGAAACTCCCCAGCAGCGACTAAACTCACTGTCTCTTCGTCAGGAGAAGCTACAAACTGCTGCCACTGAGACCGCCACTCCTCTGGGACCATCTGGTAAACTCCAGCCCGCGGAAGCGCCGCATGCGTTCTGCAGCAAGAGTAGGACCACAAGAATCTCTAGAAAAGACCCGTTGGGCCCCGAGGAAGCCACATGCATGGGTTCTAGGCGCCGTCGAAGCCGGCTATCTAGCTGCCAGCGCAGCAGCTAGCAACAGCGCTACCTAGCTGAGCAGGCTGCTGCCAACCAAGACAACCCGCTGGGATAGGCAAGCAGCTACGCAGGAATTGGTAGCCGTGGAGAAGTCCACACATGGAGGAACAGTAAACGTAGAAAAAACGTTATCGGCTCTTCCAAATGCCAAGCAATGCCATCAGTAGCAAAGCAGCAACAGCAGCAGCCACCGCAGGACAAAAAGCTCACTTGGAAGTTCCATGAAGGGGCTCGCGCTTCACTGTCCAGCGATTTCCAAGAACGGCGCCAAGGACCTTCTCCTCCTCTTTCATGCGATGCCGCCATCGCTGCCTCTGCTGCTGCTGCTGCTGCTGTTCAGAAAGGCAGACCTGAGGCCAGTCCACACCCACCACACGCTACCCCTGACGCCGCAGCCATCTAAGCGAGCTACCAACCGACACCTGGGGTAGAATCTATGTTTCCCCTGCAGCGCTGTAACAAAAATCCTTGAACCCCTGCTTCTGCTGCTGAAATAGCTGGTTCTTCTGCAACGCACTGTGCACTCCGAAGCGCTCTGCGGAACGAGTCGTGAAGCAGAGAGGACCAGGGGCTGTGGCACTTCGAGTTCTTTCAATAAAGGCCATTTTGCCGTCTCCACCGAAAGATATCGCAACAACGCAACGGCCGGGACCTGCAGCAGTAACAGCAGAGACCGCAGCAAAACAACCATATTAACGGCCGCTTAAGACATCAAAAGCACCACATGCACCACTTGAACAAATATGCAGGCTTGTTCAAGTCAAAAGGCTTGTACAAATATGCAGGCGCTGCAGAGCAGCAGCACAGTACAGAAAGCAGCAGCTGCTCATCTTCGCGGGGCAGGAAATGGGCAAGGGACTGAAAACGTACCAACAATCGGGGAGACAGCTTCTGCTTCGAGTGCTGCAATGGAAGCGGCAGCAAATTCCCATGGGAACAGATCAACTCCGACGACACATCCAAGACGGGACAAGCAGCCACAGCAGCGCCATCTTCCACAGCAGCAACAGCATGTCCGTATGTTGGCGCGCCTCCTTCAGCATGCGTTGCAGCGCCTGCGCCATCGCCTCTTTTTCCTGTTCCGGAAGCAGCGTGGCCTGCCGAAGCATCAGCCGAAGGGTGAGCAGCAACTGCTGCTGCTGCTGCAGCAACGGCAGGGTGGGCCTCCTCTTCTAAGGGCCACACGCGATGGGAAGAAACCTCCTTGCGAACATCTTCGTACGCAGCCCAAGCAAATGCGCTGTCTCCACATACTCTACGAGTTTTGCATTTACTTCCTCTGGACCCGCGCTGCTGCTGCGTTGCGGCGGCAGCAGCAAGCAGTGTCATCAGGGGACCGCCCCGTGGCCCATCCCTTGCTGCTGTACTGCAACTACTCAGGTACACTGCATGCTGCCCCAGCATGTGTTGAAGAACACGGCGAGAAACAAGCACGAATTCCTCCTGCTCGACCTTCATCTGCGGCTGCTGCATTTTCTGCAAAAGCTGGTGCTGCTGTCCCTCGTCAGTGAGGGCAGGCGGTTGCGCTGTTGGGGTGTTCTGGTAGCAGCCTTCCAGCGTACGCTGCTCTTCGACTTGTAACGAGCCGCCGTTCGCTGCAACAACTGCTGCTGAATCAGCAGCCAAAGCTAGTTCCTGCGTCCCAATAGGGGCAGGGATTGACATGGCAGCAGCTGCGCCAGCAGCAATGAGATGCTGCTGCTTGGCAGCCGAAACGAAGAGATCGACCTCTCTGTGCTGCAACGCCGACAGGTCGGCCAGACCTCTCAATGCTGCTGCACATCTGCTGCAGACAGCCTGCTGCAGCAGCGGCGTCTCCACAGAAGCGCGCAACCCCACTGCATTGTATATTGACTTAAGCACGGAAACAGGAATGAGCTTGGCATCTCCACTCCACACAGCGAGGGGGTCGATCCCGTATGGTTGCCCCACCTCACTGCTGCTGTTGTTGTTGTTGCTGCTGTCACTTGCTGCCCAGAATGACGGTCGCTTGCCGTTCCGCCTCTGCTGCTGCAGATCTGCAGACAGGCGAAGGTAGCAACAGAAGAATCTCCTTGAGCTACAGGCCAATGCAGCAAATCGAGGAGACTGATACGTAGCACTCACCGAAGCAGCAAAGGCTGCTAGTAGCAGCAGAGAGAGGAGCCTTCAGTAACAGCAGTTAAACCACTACTACGTAGGGCAGCAAGCAAACAGCAAAAAGGAAAACTCATCGGCAGCATCAGCATCAGCAAGAGTGCTCTTGTGAACAGCAGCAAGCAGCAGCACAACAGAGCCAACATACGCCGGATATAATGAGGACAGAGAATGCTGCTGTAGTCAACGACCCCGGCTTCTTCGAGCACTTCTGGGCAGACAGCAGCAGTCCAGGCGGTGCTGCCTCGTTTGGGGCTTTTCTTGTGCTGCTGTTGCTGATGCACGTGATGCTGCTGCGGCACCGCATCTGAGTCGTCCAGTTCAAGTTGAGTATCTCCATGTTGCTGCTGTTCCTGCTGGTGCTGCTGCGGTGGCGGTCCAGTAGCAACACCAGCCTTTCCAGACTTATCTGTTGCACTATGGAGGTAGGAGTTGCTGTTTGCGCTGTCCCGGGGAGGCCGCAGATGCTGCGGCAGCAGCAGTGAGACGCACGGGTAGTCTGTGCCTCTAACGAAGGAAGCCCACCAGCTCTTAGGAACAAACGCCAGCTGCTGCAACAACGGCAACAGCTGCTGCTTCTCAACTGCATCCGCAGCAAAGTTGTCCCCCGTTTCAGCAACAGCAGCAGCCACAGCAAACGCCTGCTGCGTCTCCTGGTGCTGACGCTGCAGTTCCAACTGCCGCAACGCTGCAGGCAGCTGCTGCCGCAGCAAATGAGAAATAAACGATTGCTGCTGCAGCACAAAACTCGTCAACAACTGCGTACGCTCTTCCTGCTCTCGCAGGCGGCTAAAGAGGCGTTCGTTCTGCAGCAACAGCAGCAACCGTGGCAGCAGCAGCAAACACAGCGCCAGCAGATAATGACACCGCAAAGCAATGCAAACGAATATACACTCTAACTTCTTATCTGGCTTTAGCTCAAAAAGCCCGGCTCCTACGCCCTTAACCTCTCAACCCCAAGCCATAGGCCATGCAACGCAGGAAGTCACCTAAACTAGTACCACACCACAGCAGCTGCGGACGGACACGGCTAGCAATAGTGGCACCTGCAGTGACGCACCTCTGCATGTACAAAGGCCTCCAGCGCGGGGGGCAGCGGGGGGTCTTCGGGAGAAGCAACGATGTCGCCACGGATGTAAGTGACGCTGTGCACTGTCCTGCTCAGCAAGTAACTGCTGTTATCCGCCTGCTGCTGTTGCTGCTGCAGCGGAGCAGAAGGTATGGAGTGAGGAGTATTCTGCTGCTGTTGCAAAAGCTGGACTTCGTCGGCGATGCAGAGGCTGCTGTCATACTGCTGCTCCTGCTTCCCCTCCTCTTCGGACCCAGAAGGAAAGGAGAAGCGAGTGACACAACTGTCGTTGAAGTACACCCAAGGCCACCGCTCCCCCCCTAACTCCGGGCTGCAGGCACAGCAGCACCAGCCCAGCGGCAGCAGAAACGGCATCAGCAGCAGCGTCAGCAACAACGGCAGCTACACGGATCAATTCAAACGCACTGCCGAAGCGAGGCATCTTACCTAGACCAAGTAGTTGCAGCTTGTTGCTGCTGCTGCTGTTGTTGCTGTTGCTGCTGCTGTTGCTGCAGCAATCTCTGCAGTTGCCGCGGCACCTGCTCGGGCTCCACCTCGAATGCTGCTGCTACGTGCGTCTCTGCTACCTCCCAGTCATCATCGCTTTCGAGGTCTGCAGCAAGACGCTCCGCTGCAGCCTCTGCTGCAGCGATTGCTAAGTCGGGGTCTTGACACCCTGTGCTATACGTGCTGCTTTTGTTGTTGTTGCTGTTGTTGTTGTTGTTGCTGTTGTTGTCGTTGTTGTTGCTGCTGCCGTTGTTGCTGCCACTGCCCCCTTTGGGCCCAGTGGGAACAGCAGAAACCTCGCCGTCGGAGGCAGGAGAAAACTGTTGCCGCCGGACTGAAGCCCGACGACTACGACGAATGTTGAAGCTGCTTTTGTTGCTACTGCTGCTGCTAACTGTTGGCGGCTCCAGCTGGCCTCCATTCCCCTGGCTGCTGGTGCTGCCGCTGCTGCGGTAGCTGCTGCACCCTATACTATCACTGCCATTGCTGACCAGTTCAGCCTGCAGCAAACCTGATCCAGTTCCAGTTGCAGCTCCAACAGGAGGAACCATATGCTGCTGTTGATGCTGCTGAAGGTCCACAACAGGTGCAACTGCGGTAGACCCACTCCCATAAGTCCCTGACCCACGTTTTCGGATCTGTTCCAGCATCTGCTGCCTATGCTGCTGGTGCAGCAGTTGTTTCTGCTGCTGCAAGCTTTCGCCGCAGTCTATGGAGGTAAGCACGGCCTGCATCGACGGTTGCGTGTATCTGTTCGAAGGGGCCTGGTGCTGGTCCTGCTCCAGCTGCTGCTGCACTATGGATTGCTGCGGCGGTTGCGATGATGCAGCTCCACCATACACAGTCACGCCCGCTCCACCAGCAGCAGTAGTAGCAGCAGCAGGAGACGCAGCGCCCGCTGGAGGGTGCAACGGGAACCTCCCGTGCTGCTGAGTGGCAATAGCTGCGAGGGCTTCGCGGTGTAACGGTGGTGTGGCAGCTGCCCCTGCATCAGTTTCAGCAGGAACACGGCTGCTGGTGTTGCTGCTGGTGTTGCTGCTGGTGTTGCTGCTGCTGCGGTATCTGACATCCCGAATGATTGCTGTGTAGTGGCCAGAAGCAGCCGACGCCCCTTGGTGCTGCAGGACAGCGAAAAGCCGGTAGCAGCTAGCCAAGGGCCCTGCCTCTGCCAACGACAGACTCCCGCCCAGTGGCACTGCAACAGGCGCAGCAGCAGTAGCAGTGACCGCTCAAGACCAGAGACTTCGTAGGGACGAAAGGAGGCAACGTCAGCAACTGTCTCTCCATACACTGAAATACGCCAACCCGACGGGCGACAGGCAGGTACTCTCAAGAGAGGAGAAGAGCCAGGAGGAGACGTAGAGAACAATGAGACACACGAAAAGTAAGAAGGCCGCATGGGGAGACAGCAAGGGAGTATAGAGACAACCATTCCATGGTGAACCAGGGGCAGAAAAAACAACCACAGAGACGGGCAGTAACAACAGCAAGAGCAGCAGCAAGGGCTGCACGAGGGCAAGAGAGCAACAGTAGACGGGACGGCAGCGGCATAAACTGATGCAGCAGAGGGCAGATGAGCAACAGCAAGGGGAGCAGCAGCCACGAGAGGCCAAGCAGCAGCGAGAAGAGCATCAGGAGGACGGTACCCAGCAGCATGGGGCAGAGGGCGCACAGTAGCAAGGGCAGCAGGGGCAGGGGCAGGTGCTACAGGAGCGGGAGCAGCAGGGGAAGCATAAGGAGGGGCATCAACAGCAGAAGCACCAGTAGCACTAACAGCCATATGCCTTACATGCAACTCTACATTTGTCTGCTAGACCTGCCTTCAACTCCATTACCAGCGGCACTTCCAATGCCTCGTGGAGTTTTCGCCTAGCGACTTCGCCCGTCTGCTTTCGCACGTCAATGCTGTAACGCAACACCACCACCTTACCACACAGACACACACACAGACACACACACACACACACAATATATATACATTATATATATATATATATATATA